GGTGTGGAGGGGGCAGGGTCAGGAGGATCAAGGGTCATGTTGACTGGGGGCCACTGGCCACAGGGGACACAGGAGAGAAGAATGCAGGAGACAGTGGCTTCCTTTGGCCTGAATGCCTCAGGGCATGGAGAGAAATCCCAGCAAGAGTTCTGGGTGTGGGATTTAAAACTGGGAGTCATTTGCATTTGGAGGTAACTGGAGTCCTGTGGGTAGGTGAGATTGCTCAGGCTGCACCTCCTAACCCCAAATTTGTATGTTGGAATCCTAACACCCAGGACCTCAGAATGTGACTATTTGGAGAAAGGGTCTTTCAGAGGTAATTCAGTAAAATGAGGTCACCAGGGTGAGCCTTACACCAACGTGCCTGGTGTTCTCATGAGAGAGGGGATTAAGACTCAGACACTTGCAGAGGGAAGGCCACGGGAGGACACTGGATGAAGACAGCAGCCATAAGCCAAGGACAGGGGCCTCTGAAGGAACACACCCTGCCAAATCCCTGGTCTTGGACTTCCAGCCTCCAGAACTCTGAGAAATTACACACTGTTTTCTACACCCCACAGTGTATGGTACTTTGTTATAGAAGCCCTAGCAAACTAGTATGTGTCTACTCCTTGGTTGCCATCTCTGTATTTGGTAACCCCTAAGTCACCAGGGTGGTACCCACAGATGATGGGGACACAGGGACTGCCTCTCCCGAGAACATCGCCTTCCTTCTGCCCTCAGGCTTTGTACAAACTGAGCGCAGTGAGGTTTTAAGTGGTTGTTTTAGTGGAAGTTTCAGCTCAGCACAGAGGCTGAAGGAGAGGGAGCTGCTCGACGTTCCCTGGTCCCCACTGGGCCGGGCAGAGGAGGGAGGGTCCCCTGGAGTGGGTCTCTGGTTTCCTCCCCTCCCTGTCATGCTCCATCCTTTGTCCTTTCTTTACACCTACTCCCTCCCGGACTGGGCCCTCACTATCAGGCCCCATCATTCTCCTCTGAGCCAAAGTTCTCCAGCACCCAGAAGAAAGATTCATTGCTGACTTTCCATGTGGCCCTGCTGGGTAGCCGCACCTCTCTGGGTTTCCCCTTCCTCCTGCAAGATTGGAGCTGGGAGTGGAAATCTGCTGAGCCATGGAAGAGAATATGGAGGGTCTCTGGGGCCATGGGAATGACCATCCGTGAGGTAGCTCTGTGAGTGTGGCATGTGCAGAATGGGACAGAAAAGCTCTGCAGAAGGACTCCCTTGTGTCTCTCACCCCCGGGCAGCAGCAAGCAGAAGGTGAAGGGGGCCTCAACGGTGGGGTTGAAGCCCAGAGGCTTCAAGGAGGAGGTAACGTGGTAGCACAGTGGGTCCCAGGTCTGCTGAGCTTGTGTGCATGCTTTGTGAGGTATGGAGGGGGTGGTAAGGGGAACCTGAATGGAGGTGGGAGGAAGCCTAGAAGAGACAGACAGCATAGGGGTGGGGAGAGAGGAAATGTGACTGAAATAGGTCATTTGCTGGGATGTTAATTAGAAATAAGGCTGGTGTTGATAGACGGGAAAGTGGCATGTGTGATCAGGGAGTGGGACTTTGTCCCCTCCTCTGCACATGATCACAATAGCTTGCTTTTCATCTCTTTCACATATGGCATCTCCTGATATACGAATCAGCTGCTGCTGTGTAACAAATCATCTGGAAACTCAGTGTCATTCAACAACAAGAGCTTATATCTCATGCATGGTCCCCTCGGCTTCAGCTGACCCTGGTTGGGCTTGGCTCCATGCTGAAGGTTGGGCCCTGGACTGCTGCCAGTGTCCCTCTTCCTCTTTGGGCTTGGCTCCTGAAAGCATGTTCCCATTGACAGCAGATACACAGGTGAGGAAGCCCAGGCTCCCACTGGGCCCACGCACATTGCATTGGCTACAGCAAGTCACATGTCCATGTCCGGCATCACTGGAGTGAGGAAAGGAGGTACACACAATGGTGGAGATAATTACCCTTGGCTTACAGGATGGCGAGGAGAAAGTGAATGTTTCCTGGCCAGTAAACTCATCTATTCACCCAGTGAGCTTTTTCACAAAAGGATTTATTTTCCCTGAAAAAACAAAAACCACCAGTTGGCATGATTGCATTCCACAGTCTCCTTGGAGCATCACCTCAGGACCCCAGCCTATACCTTGAATGTCCGCTAATGACCCTGTAGCTGCCATCCACCAACAGCCTCGCCATGGTCTCCCTAACTCTCTCACTGTGCCCCCTGCTGGCAGAGAAGAACATTGGCAAGACCTGGCCTCTGGACCTGGACCACAGACCTCGTCCACACCGGCAAATTATCAGAAGACAGAGCTTAAAAAAAAAAAAGAAAAAGCCACCTAAGTTCCAATGCTGATTCTGCCGCTTCATGACTGGGAGCAAGTTCCTTAACCTCTTTAAGCCTCAGGTTCAACGTGCATAAAATGGGCCCAATCCTAGTACTTTTTCCTTGGAATTTTTGTGAGGTTGAGAATATGAAAATAAAACCCTTAGCCCATTGTAAGAGCTAAGTAACTGTTTGTTGTTATTATGCCAGGCGCTTTTCCAGAGATGAGGATATAGCAGTTATACCCTTGCAGAAGCACCCCCATACCCGTAAGCCCGGGGAAGGATATATGCTGTGATGCTAGCATTCAACCAACAAGCTGACTGGCTCCCAGGGGCTGCCAAAACCACCCTCATCCTCTTAGGCCGGAGCACGGACCCCAGAGCACCTTGGCTGGCTTAGCCACATGTCAAAGAAACCTTTCCATGGATGATGGCCACTCATCCGAAGGCAGAACCTCGAACGTCCTGTCCACGCCTGGAGCTGCCCCTTTCTGTGAGCATGGGCCATCTGGTCTCAGCTTAGGAGGAGAAAAGCTGCCCATAGGCTGCCTGGCACCCACCTGGGCACTGTGGGCAACGTGGCCGGCATGCTGAAGTGGGCAGTGAGTCCACATGCCCGGCCCGTCGCAGCTCAAACCTGCTGGCGCACTGCAGTAAAACCGCCTTCGACTTAATATATGCTAATTAGATTTTAATGGGATTCAGATTTCCAACAGTAGTGCAGTGTTAGCCAGGGTAAGTTATAATCATATCTAATTGGTAATTCTAACATAACAAATTTCTTGGATAAATTATTCTTAGTTAATAGTCCCCCAGGAACAACCTCAACACGCGGGCGCCCACACGCATACACACACACACACACACACACACACACACAAAATCACACACATATATATTTTAGGGGAAAAGAACAAGGTGGAAGCAGGTTCATAGCAAGGCAAAGTTATTATTTAAAACCTGGGCACTTCGGAAGCTAAACCAGAGCCCCAGACTAAAGCCCTTAAAGCTGTTAGAACCCAGAGCAGGGTGCAGAACGCTGGAGCCTGGTCATGGCCTTGCGTGTGGCACGGTCAGGGCTGTGTCTTGGAGGGTGGGCTGCATTCTCTGGTAGAAGGTTCCCCTCTCCAGGAGGTGGCAGCAGGAGGGGCCACCAGGCTCGGAACTCAGCCCCTACTTGGGACACGTCCCTCTCCCTGGGGGAGGCCTGCTGTGGTTACTGTAGCCCCTCCCTCCCTGCCTGGGTTGCCCTGGAATTCTTCCCTTTCATAAGTTCCACACTCCAAAAGACATAAAGAGGGACCCACTGGCTACATTACTATTTTCTTTACTGGGCAGACAGCAGAGTGTAATTCCAGAAAAAGGGGTGGGGGTCAGCCAGCCTGGCATCCTGCCCTTGTTTTGCCACTAAGTCTGGGCAACCCTGGGTATAACCCAGGTACAATCCCAGGCAAGATTCTCAGGGCCTCTGTTTTCCCAGCTGTAATGTGGGTTGAGACTCACCAGGCCTTTCTGCTTTAGGTGGAAAGAAGAGGCCTCCTCTCTGGTGTTGGGGTGAAGGTGTGGACCCTACATAGTAGACAGATGGTTGGGGAATATACAAGCGGGCCTGCCCTGGGCATCCATGGAGAAGGTTCTCTCCTTTTTCTGTCGAGTCGCTCTCTGTCCTCCTAAAGCTGCCATTGGCCATAGGAGAGTATGGCTCTCTGCCTGCCCTCCTTCCCTGCTGGCAGGAGCTTAAGGCTTGACTCCCCAGAGGGTTGGTGGTGAAGTGGCTGTGTGCAGAGAGCATTATTAGTTGAAGGCAGGAAAGTGGGAGATGTGCTTAAAAAGGATGGGATTCTCACCTGTTCTCCCCACTTACCAGTTGTGTAATTCTAGGCATGTCCTTTATTCCCCTTGGGGTCACTTATTGTTTCATTTATTGCGTACAGTAACAGCTTCTTACATGGTTGTTGGGTGGACCCAGGGAAACAACCTTGCGAAGAATCTGAGTTAGTACATGTGAGTTTCTCTCTCCTTTGTTCTTTTCCTTTTCCTCCATTCCCTTCCCTTTATAATGGGATGATTTGGAGGCACAGAATGACTCTGGGGGAAGAGCAGCCAGCCCCACGAGGTCCTTTTTATCTAGTATTAAAGATGGAGATTACTGTTAACACCTGGTGCCAAGTGCGTAATAATGACGGGGAACAATTGTTGAGCACATAGTATATGCAGACACATTTCTAAGTATTTTATATGCACTCTCTCATCAGCTCTCATAACAGCCTTAATGGGCATGGTGGGCATGATTGTGAGCCTCATTATTTACATAGATGGGTCACGTGAGCACAGAGAGTTTATGTAAGTGGCCTGAAGTCACACAGCCAGTCGACTGCTAACCAAGGATTTGAACCCAGGGGGGTTTGGCTCTAGAGTTCAGCTCTTTAAACACTGCATGGTGCTGCCTCTTGAACTGACCAGCTCAAGATCATCAGAATATTTAGAACCATCTGCCTTCGGGGAGTTTCTAGGGAGAAAGGAGGAAAGGGAACCAACATTTACTGAGTCCCTGGCCTACACCTGACCCTGTGCTGGACTTCTCACCTCTGGAGGCAAAATTACTTGGTGCATTAAGCCTAGGTGCAGATCCCAGCTCCAGGACTTACTTTCTGTGTGATCGGGGGCAGGTTACAAAACCTTTCTGAGCCTCTGTTTCTTTATTTGTAAAATAGAGATAATGCCTCCTCTATTGAAAGGTTATTATAAACATCAAACAAGACAATTCATGCAAAGTGCTTAGCACAGTGCCTGACACATAAAGAATATCTGGTAAATGATGAATTCCTAAATTTATAAACATTGTTACTTACATAAATTCTTACATGTGTGTAAATATCCCCATTTCATAGTGGGAAAACTGAGTTCCAAAAGGTTAAGCAACATGCCCAAGATCCCACAATGGGAATGTGGCAAAGTTGCAGTTTGACCCCCAAAATCTTTCAAAGTCCTGGGTCTCACTGTTTCTGGGTAGATTTGAGAGCTGTCCTCTGCGGCTCTGCAGCTGCACTGCCACGGAGCTCCAGCAGACGCCTCCTGCCCGCTCACCACCTTTCAGCCCTGACTGCCTCTTCATTAAATGAAGACCATTCCCGGATGGGTGAAGTCAGCTGCCTGCGCTGGGAGAGGAAGCTCTAAGAGCATCCCCAGGGCTTGGCTTGGGGTCACCTCCAGGGTCAGGAGTGGATCCGTTGGGGCTTTGAGCACTGGGCTCGCTGGATGGTCTCTGTCTTCATTTCTCTTCCTGCACAGCAGTTCTGTTCAGGCTGCTGTAACAAAATACCATACATTGAGTGACAGCAGAAATCTATTTCTCACGGTTTTGGAGGCTGGAAAGTCCAAAGTCAAGGCAATGGCAGATTGAGTGTCTGGTGAGGGTCCACTTCCTAGAGGTCTTTTCAATGTAACCTCACATGGTAGAAGCAGCAAAGAACCTCTCTGGGACCTCTTTCATAAGAGCACTAATCCCATTCGTGAAAGCTCTGCCTCCATGATCTAACCATCTCCTAAGGGTCCCGCCTCCTAATCCCATCACCTCAAGGATTAGAATTTCAACAGGAATTTCAGACCATGGTGCCAGTCTTTGGGCAGTGTCAGCCGCATCCCTCTACCCCCAGATCTTTCTCTGTCTTACCTCGGGATTTCAAAGGGGGCAATGGGTGCCCTGGAAGACTAAAAGGCTCAGTCTAGCAGATTCTATCCCTGCCCCACCTCCATCCTCAAAGCCCACCAAGGGTCTCCTGCAATTTACCATGCCATGGCTTTCTACTAGGGACTTTCTCTGGTTGTTTGGTTGCAGGTAGTGGATTTAATGCTCCAGCAATTGGTGACAGTGATTCCAGCTTCTTTGCTCCTTAGTGGGGCCAATCTGAGATGCATGCAAATGCAGAATCTCAGGGTCCCTTGGGATAAAGCCCCAATTGCCCAGGTCAGGCACACCCTGTATGAGCTTTCTTCCTTTCCTTACCCCATTTGCCTGTGTCACTGTGCTTCCTGGATCCCCTCCCAAATGAACCATTTGCACTCAAGTCCCTATCTCAGGGTCTACCTTAGGAGGAACCCTAATTAAGACCCTCAGCCACTTCGAGCACCAGGTCATGTGTGTTTGGTGTGGCGGAAGAGAGTGTGAGTTCTTTGTCCAGGCAGATGGGAGGCTCTGATCGCAGCACTGTGCCTGTAAGCTGTGTGGTCTTAAGCAAATGACTCCCCTTTGGGAGCCCTCACTTGCTCACCTATAGGGTGGGGAGCATCTGTTCTTATAGGCAGTTAGGCGAAGTGCCTGGCCAATGGTTGGTCCTTAATGAATATGAATTCTTGTTGTTCTCAAGGCAGATGATCCTAAATTGTCATACCTCTTGAGCTCCTGGCCTGCTGGACAGTGACATAGAATGTACCTTCTTCCCCTCGAGCTTAGTTTGTCCACAATCCAACTAATCACCACCATCCCCTGTGTTCTCATTCCTGGTTCTTTTTTTTTTTTTTTTTTTTTTGAGACAGAGTCTGGCTCTGTCACCCAGGCTGGAGTGCAGTGGCACGATCTCGGCTCACTGCAACCTCCGCCTCTCTGGTTCAAGCGATTCTCCTGTCTCAGCCTCCTGAGTAGATGGGACTACAGGAGCCCACCACCATGCCTGCATGCCTGCTAATTTTTATATTTTTAGTAGAGACAGGGTTTTACCATGTTGGCCAGGCTGGTCTTGAAATCCTGACCTCAAGTGATCCACCCACCTCGGCCTCCCAAAGTGTTGGGATTACAGGCGTGGGCCACTGGCCTGGTTCTGTTCCTGGTTCTTTATCCCATCACTCCAACTATGCAGGCCCAGGGCTTCGGGCTTCTTATCACCCCCACTACCACACAACTTCCATTCGCAGAGGGCTGGGAGCTTCCCTCTGAAGCTGCCTTCCTCCAGCCCCATTATCTGGCAGCCCTGCTCTCTGGAATCCGTCCTGACACATATGGGCCATCTGTGCCTGGGAGAGTCACTTAGCTTCTCTGAGCTTTACCCCCTCGTTTGAAGAGTGGGGAGCAGGGTGGTTCTGCAGGATAAAGCACCCAGCACAGCGTGTGAAGGACAGGTCAGGGCAGGTGCACCCTAGGGCCCTCCTTGTCTGGCCATGACTGACCTTGATAGCGTCTCACACCCTAACTACCCAAGTAAGCTTCTAACTGGGCTCCCTGGGCCAGGAGCAGACTTCTCCAACTTGACTGGGCACACAGATGGCCTGGGCCCTTTTGAAAAAGCAGATTGTGTTTCAGCAGGTCCAGGGTGGGGCCTAAGATCCTGCATTTCTATCAAGCTCCCAGGGGATGCGGCCGCTGCTGGTCCTATGACTGTGCACTGAGTAGGGAGGATCTGGAACTCTCTTGTTCCACTTTGCTTCCAAGCATCTTCTGTGACTCTGAGGCTTTCACCCGCTGCTCCCTATTGCATGATATCGATGACAATAGCTGACACCTACTGAACACTTACCATGTGCCAGGCACTGTTCTAAGGATGTTCCACATCTTCATGTATTTAATTCTCCGAAGTGAATGCCATGGACCTCGGCATCCCCGTTTTACAAAAGAGGAAGTAGAGGCATGGAGAAGTTAGTAAAGTGCCGAAGCCATGGAAATAGTGAGTGACTGAGCTGACAGTGATTTCAGACACAGGCTGGGTCCCCATGCTTGATGGCTCTGCCATGCGCCTCTTAAAGCAGAAGCCCAATCCCCTAAGCCTAGGCTTTAAAGGATTTAAGGAAGGGCTTTTCCTGTGGTTAGGAAAGGATGGTCCCTGGAGGAGGTCAAATTTGGGGAGTTGGAGGGGAGAAGCAGTTTAGAGAAAGATTCCTCGAAGACCTTTTGTCTGTAGCTCTGGGAACTCCAGGCCCAATGGAGTAAGAGGCAGGAAGGTATGGGGGCCTGGGTTAGGGACTACAAGGGCCCCTCATGAGCTGGCAGCTGCTGGGACAGGATGGGAGGAAAGAGGGGGAAGAGCAGGGGCGACGCAGAGGAAGCGGCTGTGGAAGCTCGCCCCCAAGGTCAGGTGCAGCTGGCGGCCAGGGTTCTACTGTGCCTGCTGACATTTAGGCCTGCCGCCCCATTTGAAAAAATGCATGCATTTTGCACATCTATTTCCTTCCACCCATCACTCAGGACTGTCATTCCCTGGAGGAGGCCAAGGGCGTAATCACTGACGCAACAGCTTAAATGCTTTTTGGAAAACTTCCTCGCTCTGGCCTGGTCCGCAGCTCCACCTCCCCGGCTGGGGTCCAGGGCCAGTCTCTCTTTACTGTCTGTCTGTGTCTCAGCTTCCAGGCTTGCTCTGCCAGTCCTCTCTCTCTCCCCTTTCCTCTCCTCTTCTCTCTGTTTCTCTTTGCACTCTGTCTTTCTCTGCCTCTGTCTCTGTAGGTCTCTCTCTGTGTGTTTCTCTTTCTCTGTCCCTCTCTCTCTGCATGTCCTCTGTACGCTGTCCCCCTCTGTCTCTGTGTCTCTGTACTCTGTCTCTCTCTGTCTTTGGATGTCCTCTGTCTCTCTCTGTCACTCTGTCTCTAGGTGCCTGTCTCTGTGTGCCTCTCTGTGTGTCTCTGTCTCTGTGCCTATCTCTTTATGTCCTCTGTACTCTGTCCCCCTCTGTCTCTGTCTATCTCTGCCTCATTTCTGTTCACTTCCTACTTCTCCAATTCTCTCTTTGCCTCATTCGTTGCTGATCTTTTCTCTCTCATTGCCTCTTTCTGCTCTTTTTCAGCACCCCTCCCCCAAGTGACTCCCTTTCTCTGCCCCTTCCATCCCGTCTCCACATCCTTGGAGGAGCCTCCCATCTCGGTGGATCTCTGAGCCTCCCGCTGCTAGCTGCCCACTCTTCTCCTCTCTCCCTCTGCTCCCTGGCCTCTCCCCGCCTCCCCTTTCTCAGCTCCCCTCCCACTTCCTTTCCCTGTCTTTCCAGGCTCCTCCTTCCCCTCCTCTCCTCTGATTTTCCTTCTCCCTGCCTCTTGCTTTCATTTTCACAGGCACTGCAGTGCTTCTGGGGGGAGTCAGCCCCTGACCCTGGCCCACCCTGATCCCTGCCTCTGCCCCAGAAATGTGCAAGTCCACGTTTAGGGGTCTTTCTGGGGCTACTGGCTCTCGTCAGCAGGAGTAGAGCCCAGGGAGCCTTGTTTTTGTTTTCTCAGCTCTGTGTACACTTGTGCATTTAATAAAACCTACAGCTTTTCTGAGGTCAGGACAGTACATCTAAAAACCCTGCGTCACTGTCTTTTGAGGGCAGCCAGTGCCTCTTGGATGGGAGCCACAGTTCACTGCCCTGCGTCTCCCTGCAGGCAAGGTAACCATGGCCCAAGATGAAGCTGGCTGCTGGGTCATAGTCACCTGTCAGGGATGGGGCCTCCAGATCCTCTCCTGCTTGGCCAAGAGCCCTGGCCAGGGTATAAGCAAGAGGGATAAAGGTCTCCAGTCTGCGGAGGTGACAAGGCCAGTGGAGCATGTGACTTCCCTTGGGTTGGGGGCTGTTGGGCCCCAGAGGCACAGTTCCCCAGTGCTACGGAGAAGACGGCGACCTCAGACTCTGGTTCTCTCACAGGCTCCTGGCCAAACGGACCACCATAGAGTCAGCGCCAGCCCTCCTCCCTGGAAGTGGCAGCCTTCCTCCTGGAAGGGGCAGCAATAGGCTGAGGGGCATGGCTTCCCCGCCTTCCTGTGTCCAGAGTGATGGGGAGGACCCCAGATGTTCACATTTGAAGAGCCCAGGCCAGAGAAAGGATGGGCCTGTCTTAGAACCACCACACACAAGAATGCTAAGTAGCAGCTGCGGGCACTTCTTGCTGATGAGCCCAACTCTGAGGGCTGATTGCCCAGGAGGTGGGGGCTGATTCCTGGGATAATGTAGTAGGTGTTGGTGACAGTGGCCCCCTTGAGACCCAGCAGGTGTCTCTGCATCTACCTGGCCAGCTGGGCACACCTGCAGCCAGCAGGGATCAGTGGGCACCTTGGGCCATCCCAAGGGTGACCAGCCCAGGGGGCCTCTGCACAGTCAGAGTATCCCTGGGGGAATCTGCAGATGGTGGGTGGTGACCAGGACTCATGATTGGGAAGAGCCATGAGCTGAGGTGGAGTTTCCAAGGGATCGGGAACTTGGTGCTCTGGCCAGGCCCAGCAACCATGTGTTTGGCCAGTCTACCTTTTTAAAGATGAGGTCTGCTCAGGTGACAGTGCAAACCTAACCAGAACTTGGGGCCCTACTCTGTTGGTGGCAGAGTTGACTTTGATGCTCCTTCTTGTCCTTCAAGGCCTAGCTGCAATGTCAGCACTTCCTGGAAGCCTCCCCTGATGTCCTCGGGCAGAACAGTCTTTCACCCTTTCTGTGCCCATATTGCATCCTCTTCATACTTTTATTCTGATATTTATCACATGGAATTGCAGTGCTTTCTCCCCCAGGTCGGTCATTCCTGGTGGATGGGAGCTCTTTAAGGGCAAGGCCTGGCCTGCTTGTCTTTGTGCTTCTCCTGCCTGGCATAGAGCCTAACTCGGGTGATGCTAAGGGTTTGTCCAATGACTGAATGAGCATGTGGATGAATAAATGAGCATCCATCTCCCCTTTCGGGCTGGGCTCTGTTTTGCCCATCGCCCTCCCCCTACTTCTCAATTTCAGGTTGAATAAGCCACCATCGCAGCCTGCTCAGGGCTCAAAGTCCTCAAATTCAAAGCCCAAAGCAGGCAGCCGCCCCACCCCTGTAGCCCTAAGCCTCCCAGCTGGCTCTCTTCGGGCGTGTCCCCTGCCACTTTGCGCGGTTCAACCACTTGCTGCTGAGATATTAATGCACCTCAGGGGTCAGTGGAGCCCAACGCCCATGCTGTGAATGGAGCAAGGCAATTCCAATTTCATGCCTACATGGGCTTCCCTCTGTTAAGACAAAGAGCAGGAACACATCTTTCTTTTTTTTAAAATTTCCTCCAGAAAACAGGCAAAGGTATTGTGCAGCAGAGGCTTATGTAGAATTGCTAGCAGTCAGTGAGGGGGAAGGTGGTTCCCATGAGACAAAGCAGGGCTTTGGGGAAGAAGGAAGTAGAAGGAGGAGGCAGGGGGTACTCTGTGGTTGTTGCCTGCTGATCAGGCCTGGGTGTTTATACACTGATGAGAGCTGAGCGCTTTCAGCAACTGAAATCATCTACTTCTGTCTTGCTATCAGCTTGCAAAATGTAGGCATACAAATATTTATTGAATAAAATCATTTGTTATATTTTTGTTATAATGTGTTTATATATGTGTGGGTATATGTGTGTGTATGTGTATTTTTTTTTCTTTTTTTCTTTTTTTTTTTTTTGAGGCAGGGTCTCACTCTGTTACCCAGGCTGGAGTGCAGTAGTGTGGTCATGATTCACTGTAGCCTCAACTTCCTGGGCTCAAGGAATCCTCCTACCTCAGTCTCCCAAGTAGGTGGGACTACAAGCGCATGCCGCCATGCCTGGCTAATTTTTGTATTCTTTTTGTAGAAACAGGGTCCCACCATGTTGCCCAGGCTGGTCTTGAATTCCTGAGCTCAAGCAATCTGCCTGCCTTGGCCTCCCAAAGTGCTAGGATTACAAGCATGACCCACCGTGCCCTGTCATGTTATTTTTAAAAGAGAAATTGCTGCTAGGAGGCACTTGGGCTTCCTAGCTTAAATAAGAGTATACAATATGGTGCATGGGGAACCAAGATTCCTGAACATCTATTTTAGAATATAAGATCATTGCAGATTGCAAAAAATGGCTCTAATTTTGCCTCCTTCCTTGTATTTGCACACTACGAATGTATGAACTTTTCAGCTCCTCCCATTAAAATGTGAAATCTATTTCTCTACCCGTGGAATCTGAGCCTGCTTTATGATTGCATAAGCCAACAAAAATGTAGCAGAAGTGCCAGTGTGCAGGTTCCCTTAGACCACCAGAGGCCTGTGTGCTTTGGCTCTCTCTCTCTCGCTCCTCTGCTTCACTGGGTTATCTTGCTGGGGGATGAGAGACTCCATGGAGCAAAACTGAGTTGTCCCAGCCAAGGCCACTCTAGGCCGGCTGGCCACCAGCTGACCTCTAGTTGACTGAGGATGCAAGAATGAGCCTAGCTGGATCAGCCAAACCTGGCCCACATCAGCAGCCATCACCTAAAGAGACATAATAAACAGCTGTTATTTTAAGCCACTACATGTTGGGGATGTTTGTTACACAGCATTATTGTGGCAATAGATAACTGACCCAAGAGTCATAAGACAGTGTTCCTATTTCATCTGCAGCTTTCATCACATTACTTGACTCCCAGTGATGAGTAAATATATGTTGAGTGAATGAATGTGCTTTCGGAATCACTGACCTAACTACTTATCTTTTCCCAACATGTACACTAAATCGTCCTAATGCTAAGCCTTTGCTCATGCTGTTCTCCTGTCTAGAATATTCTCCTCTGTTTTCTGCCTGGTGAATTTCTATGTTTCCTTCAAAGTTCTGTTCTCTCTGGCCTCCTCTGACTCATCCATCTCACACTGATGCTTCAGCGTCCTGGGCAGGTCCTGGTGCCAAGCGTACATCACAGTTTGACTTCCATTGTTTAGCTGGGTAAATGCTTTCCCATCCCGGGACTGTGAGCTCCTTCCTTGCGTCTAGCACAGTGCTTGGCTCATAGTAGGTCCTTGGGAGGTACTGATTCATTCATTCATCGTTCATTCACTCACTCAATAATTAGTTATTGAGCCACGTGCCAGGTTCTGGTCTAAGTGTGAGGATACAGCAGTGCACAATATAGACATGATCCCTGTGCTCATGGGACTGACGTTCTGGCTCAAGGTAGGGGAAGACGCCAATAAATAAACAAGTAAGTAGAAAAAGCATAGAGTAATAATGCATGCCTTGCAGATAATTAAATCGAGGGTGGCACCATGGAGAGGGGTGTGGTGGTCAGGTAGGTCTCTCTGAGGCAGTGGGAGTCAAGCTGCCATCCAAATGGCATGGAGAAGCTAGCCCTACAAAGGAGAAGATAATTCCAGGTGGAATTAACAAGTAGAGGAAAGGTCCTCAAGCAGGAGTGGACTTGAAGGATTCAATGAATGAAAAGATGAGTGTGAATGAAGCAACAGGAGAAAGGGAGTGGGGATGAGACATGTTAGAGGGTCAGGCAGAGCAGGGCACATCCTGGTCAACCTGTAAAGGGCTCAGATTTGTTTTCTGTGCAATGGGAAGCCAGGGTTCTGAGAAGGAGGGCGCTGTGGCATGACAGATTTAAAAGGATTCCGCTGGCTGCTATGGGGGGGGACTGGACTGGGGGTGGGGGAGGAAATCTGAAGATGGATTTCTTCAGATTGGAGGCTGATGCAGTTTTCCCGACAAAAGGAAGCTTTGTCTAGGTTGGCAGTGGGGAAAGAGAAAAGGGGGTAAATTCCGGATGAGTTTTGAGAGGAAAGCCAACAATCTATTGGGTTGGATGTGGAAGAATGAGAGAAAGAGATGAATGAAAGATAACAGTAAAATGTTTGACCCAAGCAACTGGGTTGATGGTACTATTTCTAGAGAAGAGGAATGCTAGGGAAGGAGCATGTTTTGGTAGGGAAAAGCAAAAATTGGATTTTGGCCACATGAAGTTGGAAATGCATATTTAATGTCCAATGAGGTAGGGGAACCACATTATGAAGTTGGACATCTGAGTCTGGAATTCCTAGGAAAAGTTAGGGAGTCAGAAATTTGAAAGTCAATATGGAAATTGATTGAAATGGTCATCCAGGACCTGACTTGACCAGGGCCAGATGGGCTGTGAAGACCACAGGGAGATAGAGCCAATGCTTAGTTCTCAGCTTGGTGTGTCTGGCACCTGGAGTTTTTGTAAGGATGGCCCTGATTCCTTATGACATCTGCACTGTCTGAGAGAGGCACAGATGACTCAGTGATGTCTCTGCTGGTTGGAAAGGGAGGAGAAGCACAGGGCTTCTCCTGTGCTTCATGTGGCAGAAGTGATGAGAGCTATTTCTGGTGATGGAGCCTCCTCCCAGTCCTCCCTCCTCTGGCCACTCTGCCCTAGGCAGAATTCATTCATTTCCATGGGATGAAATAAATGATGAATAATTTCCATTCATTTCATTTCATGGAAATGAATCATTAAATGGGTCCCAGCTTCTCTGTGGCAGATGCAATGCTCTGGGATCACCATTCTATTTCCTTCTCCAGGGTACACAGGAAAACTGCATTTCCCAGCTTCCTTTGCAATCAGATTGGGCCATGTGACTACTCCTGGCCAATGGAGTATGGACAGGGGTGATTTATGTTCTATTAGGCCTGGGCCTTAATCACATCCTGTGTGATCATACTAGTTGCCCAACTCCTGCTGTAACAAATTGCCACAAACCTAAGTTTAAAAGAATATGGCAAATTTATTCTCTTACAGTTTTGGAGTCAGAAATCTGACATGAGTCTCATGGGGCTAAATGTGTTGGCAGGGCCAGTTCGTTCTGGAAACTCAAAGGGTAGAATCTGTTTGCTTGCCCTGTTTGGCTTCTAGAGCCTGCCTGAATTCCTTGGCTTGTGGCCTCTTCCTTGCGTGACTCCTATATCTTGCTTCTGCCATCACATCTCCTTCTACTGCCTTTTACCTTCTTGCCTCTCTCTTATAAGGACGTTGTGATTACATTGAGCCCACCTGGATAATCCAGGCTGATATTTGCATCTCAAGATGCTTAACTTGATCACATCGGCAAAATCCCTTTTGCCATGGAAGGTAACATATTCACAGGTTCTAGGGATTAGGATATGGACATCTTTGGTGAGAGGGCATTATTCTGCCCACCACAGTGACACTCCAGCCTTCTCTTATCCTCCCCTGGGGATTTTGGAGGCTGTATGTTCCAGGTGATGTAGCTACAAGATGCAACAGGGCTGCTCAACCTGCTTGGGCTTCTCATGAGCCCAAAATAAATCTTTATTATTGTGTTAGGCTGTTCTTGCGTTGCTATAAAGAAATTCCTGATACTGGGTAATTTATAAAGAAAAGAGGCTTAATTGTCTCATGGTTCTGCAGTCTGTATAGGAAGCATGGTGCCAGCATCTGCTCAGCTTCTGGGGAGGCCTCAGGGAGGTTTTGCTTGTGGCAAGAAGGAAAACAGGAGCAGTCACGTCACATGACAAAAGCAGGAACAAGAGAGGGAGTCAGTTGGGAGTGGGGAGGTGCTACACACTTTTAAACAACCGGATCTCACGAGAACTCACTCACTCATCACCAAGGGGATGGCACTAAGCCATTCATGAGGGATCTGCCCACATGATCCTAACACTGCCCACCAGACCACACTTCCAACACTGGGGATTGCATTTCACCATGAGATTTGATGGGGACACAGGTCCAAACCACATCAATTGTGTTAAGGCAGTAAGACTCTGGGCTCAATATGTTACTGCAGCAGGGCCTATCCTAAACAGACTGCTCACAATCTTCCATGGGCTCTTCTTGGTGAATGCCAAGTCTTGACCATGGCTCAGAGGGGCCAGCCCCACCCCTCTCCAAAGATTCTTGGCCCTTCTCTCTGAGTTAATAGCTGAATGTCCTGATGAGTTTGTAGTGGTTGAGTAGAAAGTTCTGAGAAACCTCTACCACTGACATACATGTGACCTTGACTGATGTCAGCCTTGGCCATGTGACTTGCTTTGGCTAAAGGAGTGTTCATGGGCATGACACAGGCAGAGGCCTTAAACGTGCTTGAATGGTTTGAGTTTCTTCTTGAGCTTTGGTGATGTACCATAAGAGGATCAAATGTCAGGTAGTCACTTCCCCTTTAGTGTGGGCCCCAAACAAACACCCATGACACCAACCAACCCATGGAGGAGGCATGAACCCAACCCACAGCTTGGAATCCAGCCCAGTTGACCTGCTGTCTGAAGCAGAACTGCCCAGCTGAGCCCAGATTAGATCAGCTGAACCACTTCAACCTGAACATGAACATAATTACAAATGCTTCTTGTTGCATGCCATTGAGGTTTGGGTTGGTTTGTTATGCAGCATTATTGTGGCAACAGCTGACTATTACACTTAGCCCGGAGGAATTTGGATTTCTCAAGTCTCTGGCCACATTCCACACCTGGATGCTAGGACTTGAGTGAGATAGTGAGCCCCATGTCCCCTGTTCATCTGGGAAGAGCATGCCTTCCATCTCCCTTGCCCTTCCCTTCTCAGTGCCTGTCCCAGTACTGAATGCCAGGAGGAGGGGCCCGGTTGCTGCTACTGAGCAGATAAAGAATGCAGAGCCACAAACCGAGGTGGGGAAAATTGTTCTGTTTGTTTTAGTTAAACCGACTGAAGAAGCCAAGACACAGACGGAAAGAGAGACTAAGAACAAGACTGGAAATAGTTTAGAAAAGAAATGAAAACCGGTCGCGGAGATGTCAGTGCCCAATGGAGTGGCCTGGGTGGGTGCCTTCACGTCAGCTCCAGAATCACTGTCAGGGCGAGCACCAAGGTGAGCCGGGCGCCAGTGGGGCCAATGGAACCTGTGCCGGGAGGCAGGAAAAGGGTCAGAGCCTGCAGACCCAACCCTGTTCCAGAACAGTAGAACCTCCAGGTCCCCAGCAAAGATGCTGGATTTCAGCATCAGGACAAACTGGGTTTGAAGACCAGCTCTGCCACCTGGCTACCTAACTGTCCATGATCCCCTCCCCTACCCCTAGGCTTGCTGGGCTGTGGTCAGACTTCCTAGAAGCCATGAAGATGGTGCAGTGAGGACCAACAGTGGGAGCCTCCATTGTGAACTGTGAGATTGGCTCCATGTAGGGAGGGGGTGTGGCAGGCCTGGGAGCAGTGTCTGGGCCCCTTGGGGTGGTGCTCAGGCTAGAGCAGGTTGGGGGGTGGGGGCAGCCCAGGGAGGACAGTATAAAGGGCCTGCACTGAGACATCCGTCGATGCTCCCAACCACCCTATGGAGTGGTTCAGAGTCTCAGAACGCAGCCCCACGGTCGACGTTGGACACACCCTTCTGAGGTCAGAGCAGCCGGGCTCTGAGCTAAGAGAGCTAGAGATGCCACGGACAGTGAGACCGAGCTCTGAGCTAAGAGGGCCAGACATGCCATGGATGGTGAGATGGGGCACAGTTGGCCCCAGAAATCTCAGCTGGCTGCTTTGGCAGGCTGAGTCCCCCTTGATTGCCTCAATCCCTACCTCTGCCCACTTTGGACTCTGACTCTGCCCTACTAGAGGGCAATGATGTGCCTGAGGGGTCAGGGAGTGGCAAGGGTATGCACATGGGAAGTGTGGGGAACCAGAGCTTTCTGGTGCCTCAAAAGCCACTCTCTTTCAAGCAAAAAATCCTGAGGGTGGAGACTTACCATTGGAGTCCTCCGTTCCTCTTGGGATATTTGGATTTTCTGTTGGAAAGAAACAGAAAGAGAACCAAAGAGTGGATGGCATTCAGAGCTCAGGGAAGGAGTGGCCCTTTACCCAGCACCTGCTGTGAGGTATCACATGCAGTGTCTCAGTGCAGCCATACAACCTCCAGGGGAGCTGGATAGTATCAGCCCCCTTTTGCAGATGGAGGAAGTGAGAGAGGTTAAGCAGTTTGCCTAAGGTTCTTTCTGAGTCCGAAGCTTATTTATAGTTGTAACCACCGAACAACCCTGCCTCCCAGTGGGGCCCCCTCCCAGGGCAAATTTAGGGGATTTGGGCCCCTGTTGCTTCCTCCTCCTGGGGATACCTCCCAGCCAGGACTCGTCCCTGTGGTTGTTCTCCCAGTCCCCAGCTGAGTGCTCCATACCAAACACGATGAGCCGGGTGTGCGTGTCGGTGGAGCCCAGTGGGTTCTGGGCAGTGCAGCGATACATAGAGCCGTTGAGCTCAGCAGGAACCCGCTCCAGCACCAGCTCCTTCCCGTCGAACTCAGCGCTGCCATCCAAGAGGCGGCTCCCAACCCGCGTCCAGGTGAACATGGGCTCCGGGAAGACTTCGTTCTGTTGGCCAGAGCAGGGGAGAGTTGGGTCACAGGAGGGCCCATTCTGCCAGAGCAGCAAGGGGTCATGGGCATGCCCGGCCAGGGCTGGCACAGCATTCTCATCTGATGGGTTGGGAATGGCTGCCCTGAACTCCAGGAGGAGAGGGAGTCTGGAACTGAAGAGAATGTCTCGTTGAAGAGCTAGGTTCACTCTGAGTTCTAGATGGAGGAGTGAAACATGTATGTACCTCTTTGCCATTCCCCATGGGAACCGATTCTCCCAATTACACATTGGGAAACTGAAACCCACTGGATGTGGCTGGGGATCAAGGGAAGGGTGTTAGAGAGGACCGCCAGGAATGCTGGTGCTGGATCGATACCTCTACCTCCCCCTCACCACCCTCCCAGATGCTCAGAGAGAGGCTGACCTGAAACCCATGGACCAGAATCCTCACTGTGTCCCCGACCCGGGCTCTGCTGGGCGTCATCACAATTTTGGGTCCTTTCGGGGCAACTGTAGAGAGAGAAAGGCCAGGTCAGAGAGAGTAAGGAAAGGAGGGACAGGGTACATGGAAGAGAAAGTTCTAGTCTAGTGATCAACATCCTTGGGATCAGCTGCTTCTGTTAGAAGCTCAGTGTGCTCATTCATTCATTCATTCACACCTGCATTCATTCAGACATATTCCCTAAGCCCATGCAATGAATCAGATGCTCTCTAGGACCTGGGGAGTCAAGGGTCTATATAGGACACAATTCCCGCCCTTGGGTGGTTCACACACCAGTAGGGGAGAAAGACAAACAACCGAGAAGTACAAGCCAGTACCATGAGGGACAAGATCAGAAAGGCCCAGTGGACGGTGGGATCAGGGAGGGAAACTTACCTGGGGCAGGTGCTACTAGGCTGCTGATGGGGAGCAGCCTGTGCCAGCAGCCAGACTTGAGGTACCCCCAACTCCCACCCATGCTACCCCCTTGGGAGGTGCATTTCTGGTGTCATCAGCCCCATTGTCCAGTTGAGTTAACTGGGCCTCAGAGAGTCATGAAGTGATTTGAAAAAGGTCACACCTTGATGAGAGCCAAGATCAAGGTGCGGGTCTCCTCCTCCTGATTCAGTGCTGTTTCTAACAGGTTAATCTTCCCAGTGGGATTTTTCTAGAACCTCTGGGTAGGGATGGACACAGTGTGGGAAGATGACCTCCTTCCTTGTGCCCAGCCTCACTGCCTCTCTTCCTCACTTCCTTGTATCAGCTCTTATTCAGTCCCTTTATATCACTGAACTTGAAAGCCAAGATGCCCAAGGGCAGGGCTATCCTCTGAACAATGCCTGAGAATATCAGGGATGGAGGAGACACTTGGGATCATTGGGTCTGTTCCCTTCATTTCAGCTGAGAAACAGAGCTCAATGGATAATGTAGAGGCTTATCTAAGGTCACTCACAGAACCAGTTACCCATGTTTCCTGACCTTCTCGCCAGCACTCTTTTCCCCAGATTCATTCATTCACTCACTCACTCAACAATAATTAGGGAGCCAGCCATTTGGAGCAGAGCAGAGGATATGGTGGTGAACAAGACCCAGTGCCTGCTGACTCGGAGCTCCCACTTCAGTAGGGGTGAGAGTTCGTAAGCAAACAAGCACATATGCAAAACAGGATGAGAGTGACCGTGCTCCATGCAGATCACTAGACCCAGGGGAGGGGGCTCAGAGTTGGTGGGTGACATCCTCAGATAGTGGTCAGGGTGCCTCTTCCAAGGAGGTGACATTTAAGCTGAGCTGTGAACCCCGTGAGGCATATTCCAGGCACAGGGAACAGCCAGGGCATGGGACAGAGGCAGGTCAGGGAGGGAAGGGGGTTGGGAGACAGATCCCATAGAGCTTCCAGGGCCGGAGGAAGGGGTGAGGGTTTTGTTTGGTACTCTATGCTTTGTGCTACTCTGTGTAAACATCTTCTAAGGGTGGAAAAGGTTTGTCCTGAGGCCCTGGGGCTGCCCTGGGATCACCCCCACCTTTCCTTGCTGGTCCCCAAACCTCTCTTTCTGACTCAAAGCTCTCAGAACAGAAATCAGAGCAGTTGGCAGATGTGGGTGGTCTCCCAGGCACTGCCAACTTCATTCTCTGAGAATGAAATCAAAGGATTATTAATTAAACCATGAGCAAGACATCTGAAATGCCACATGGGTCTAGGGAAGGATCCATGGGAAGAGCAGGGCTTGCACCACGGGGTGGGGGAATCGCTGGGAAGGGAAGGGCTGGTTCTGCAGCTGCATCTGTCAGTCAGTCAGGTGGAAGGGCCACTGGCCTGGGAGACCTGCGAGCTGAGTTCTAATCTGTTCTGTGTGCCCTTGGATGAGTGGCTCCCCCTCGCTTTCCCAAGTGCCCCATGGGAACAATGATACCCCTTGCCTAACACGTGGGGCCATTAGGAACATCAGGCGGTGGCAGGTTTGATGGCTAACATTTGTTTAGTGTGTCCTAAGAGCCAGGACCTATGAAGTACCATATGCATAATCTCATTTAGCCTTCCAGCCTTTGAGATTGTCGTCGTAAGGAAATGAAGGCTCAGGGAGCCCAAGTAAGTTTCTGGGTTTTAAAATGAACTCTCAAGTGCTGTAGACGTCGATTTGCAGATGAGAAACCAGGTCTAGGGCAGTCTGACCCTGGGTAATCTTGGCGGCTCTAAGTGCTGCTAGGGTGGCATTGTTGGCCGCAGCCAGGAGAGGGCGCGGAAGGGCATCCCGGTCCTGGAGAAGGCTGGAGCCGTGGAGGACCCGGCAGACAGCTTTCCCTTCTAGGTTAGATTCCTCACTGCCCTGCTTTCTAAAGGGCCTGCCTTACTCCTTCAGGCCTGGGCCTGGGCCTGCTGGTTCTAAGGGAAGAGGGAACCAACCTTTCTCAGGTATCAAGCATGCGCTAGACTCCATTTTAGGATGGTCACACCATTCTGGTACTTATGAGGCAAGTTACCACAAAACCCATTGTGCAGGTCATAGAACCGGCCCTCCAGGGGGGCAGTGACTTATCCAAGGTCACACTATAGGAAGTATCAGTTACAAGACGTGATGGCACATACAGCTTCAGAGGGAGGCTCAGAGCCCAGGGGCAGAGGTGAGGCAGAGATGGGTGCCTTCTTGCACCCAGGGCACCCCGGCTCCTGGGCTCCTGTGTGCATCTGATCCTGAGGGGCACAGAGGGTGGGAAGAGGAGGGATCTGGTCCTCCCTCGCTGCTTTCAAGCTCTATCCTGGCAGCTGCCACCAGACAAGTGCCTTTGTAGCAGATGGTCCCTGACTCCCTCCTTCACTGCTGCGTTAAGATGTTGCTTCCGGAAGCCAAGCCAGCTGCTGTCAGCCTCCCCACTCCTTCCAACCTCAGGCTCCTGACACTCAGAGCCTGGCCCATTAGCAGCTCCAGACAGTCGAAACCTGGCCCCACTTGCCTGCTTCTGACCACAGTGGCTGAGAGTGCCCGAAAGGAATGCTCTTAGTCTCTGGACTTTTCTGCCTGTCAACCCCTGGACATAGAGAAAGAGTAGGAGTCCAGAGACCCAGGATTGATGCCTAGCCCTCTACTTTCTGGCTGCATGACTTGGATGAGTCATTTCAACTTGTTGGGCCTCAGTTTTCTAACCCGCAAATGGGGAGAATAGGCTACCACCCTGCTTGAGGAAACACTCTGAAAATGACAATGGAGGAGGGAGATAAGACTGCAGTGTGAAATGTAAAGTGATATTTATCTGCTCAGGGAATGAAAAAGATCCTGGACATATAAGTTGCCTTCCTTACCTCTCCTGAGCATCCTGATGCAAGGATAGTACTATGGAATCTCAAGGAAAAGCTCCTCTAGCTTTCCCCCAGGAATTCTGGGTGTTTTCTAAGACAATCACTCACCCATTCACCCAATCATCCATCCATCCATCCATCTATCCATTCATCCATCCATCCATCCATCCATCCATCCAAATATCCATCCATCCAAACATCCATCTATTCATCCATCCCTCCAAACATCTATCCAAACATCCATTCATCCATCCATCCAAACATTCATCCATCTAAACACTCATCCATCCATCCATCCACCCATTAAACATCCATCCATCCATCCATCCTTCCATCCATCCAAACATCCATCCATTCATCCATCCCTCCAAACATCCATCCAAATATCCATCCATCCATCAAAACATCCATCCATCCATCCATCCATCCATCCATCCATCCTTCCATCCATCCAGGCATTCATTTTATTCATTCATCTATTCAAACATCCACCAATCCATCCACACACCTACCTATAAACCTACCAATTTGCTTACCCATCCATTTATTCATTTGCTCTATCCATCTAATTCTTTACCGTACACCTAATTTGTGGTGGTCACTATCCAGGATCACTGTTGGGGACACCATGATGAATAATAACAGTAGCTTATATTTCCTGAATATTTGCTCTGCCTGTCACTATAAGCACTTTGTATGCACTGCCTTACTTAATCTTCTCAACAACCTAGAAAAGCATTAATTAATTAATTGTTAAACAGTTGTTTATTAAGAACTATGTTAGGGGTTGTTCTGAGCCCTGTACTCTGTGAACTAGGCAGATAAAGACTCTGCCCATGTGCCATTTAAATTCTAGTGGGTGACGGGAATGCCCAGAGTTTGACTGGGATGGTGGTTACACCGGCATTCACATTTATTAAAATTTGTTAAATTGTGCACTGAAGGACCTGAATTTCCCAATAGGTAAATTTTATCAGAGTTAAGAAATATATGAAGAATGAATTATTTAAGCCAGTTCACCTGACTGCCATTACATCTAAAACCAAATCTCAATTCCTAGCTTGTGGGCGATTCAGACAATAAGCAAATATAGAATATACTTGCAGGTGGAAATGAGTTATGTAAGAAAACAAAGCAAGAGAAGGGGTTGAAGGAACCAGGAGGAAGAGGCTGCTTTAGATAGAGTGTTCAAGGAAGGATCCTTTAAGTAGAGGCCTCGAGCAGAGGCCTCCTTCCAGTCAATTTCCATTCTTCGTAGGTCAACACTGTTCCCGTTTCTATCAATGGAGATTTCTTTTTTGTTCTAGAATTTCATATAAATGGACTCACACAGTGAGTACTCTGTCATCTGACTTTTGATCAACAGTTTTTTTTTTTTTTTTTAGACAGAGTCTCACTCTATTGCCTAGGCTGGAGTGCAGTGGCATGATCTTGGCTCACTGCAACCTCTGCCTCCCAGGTTCAAGGCATTCTCCTGCCTTAGTCTCCCAAGTAGTTGGGCCTACAGGCATGAGCTACCATATCCAGCTAATTTTTGTATTTTCAGTAGAGCCAAGGTTTCACCATGTTGGCCAGGCTCATCTCAAACTCCTGGCTTGAAGTGATCCACCTGCCTCAGCCTCCCAAAGTTCTGAGATTGCAGGTGTGAGCCACCATGCCCAGGCTGATCAACATGTTTTTGAGCTCCATCCATGCTAATGCAGGTATCATGAGTTCATTCATTTGTATTTATAAAAA